TTATTCTCATGAATGCTGGAGTCATACTTATACATACAAATATGGGTGTATGGAGATACAATCATGACACCTTTGTTTCACACAACAGGAAGTAACTTAAGTATGACTCCAACATTCCTTAGGGTATTTAGAAGACCCACTTTCTCAGTATCTAAAGGCTAAAACACCCAACTTTTACCTTTGAAGCCCTTTCAAAGACTTTAAACAAACATGAATTCTTTTTCAAAAACTTTTATGTATTCAAGAACGTTTATTTTGTTCTCAACAACGTAGAACTTGGATGTCCTTTCCTCCTCTTTAATCAATGAGGCCAGGTCCACACATTTCACATAAGTTTGGAGTAAAGAGGCTGAGACAAACTGAACAAACATGAAATTATCAAAAACATATTTAGGAACTTCACTGTGTCCTCATGGATGTGGCTCCTGGGCATCCTGTTCTCCTTTGTGACCTAATCTGAACTGTGTTGAGGTAAATTTTCACATATAAAAACCTGTCTAATATTTATGTTATCCTTGAATACAGAACTTTAAGGAGTTCTTCATCCTTGGACCTTTCTTCCTCTGAAGAACATGGCTCCTGAAAGGATGCAAAAGGATGTGGTTTTCCAACATATCTGTAATGTAGTAAACAGCACTAAAACATTCGTCATACTGCTCACCTTTGTTTCACAATGCTGTCGTGACCTCCACGTGGGATGCATTTTCTCATTTTCTGTGTGCAAGGAACATGGCTCCTTAAGATGGGGGGACAGACAGATATTGGTTCATGTATGACTTGATTTCATGCACACCAAATTAATCCAGTTTACTTCCACTCACCTGTCCTTCAACATCAATCTCATCTTCTGTGTGCAAGGAATGTGGCTCCTTAAGATGGAGAACAGACAGATATTGGTTCATGTATGACTTGATTTCATGCACACAAATTAATCCAGTTTACTTCCACTCACCTGTCCTACAACATCAATCTCATCTTCTGTGTGCAAGGAATGTGGCTCCTTAAGATGGAGAACAGACAGATATTGGTTCATGTATGACTTGATTTCATGCACACAAAAATTAAACCAGTTTACTTCCGCTCACACCTGTCCTTCAACATCCATCTCATCTTCTATGTACAAGGAACGTGGCTCCCTTAAGATGGAGAACAGACAGATATTGGTTCATGTATGACTTGATTTCATGCACATAAAATTAAACCAGTTTACTTCCACTCACCGGTCCTTCAGTATCAGCCTGATCTCTGTTTCCCGTGGATCCATTGTCCTCTGATTTTTCTATCTGTGAGGAGCACAAATCCCTAAAGAGTAGATTTTGTGATTTAGAGGTCATGGACAGAAATCCTCTAAAAATAACTATACTGTCTGTACACATCACTAAACCAAGCTTAATACTCCTCGCCTTGGCTTCAATACAGGCTGTCAGACCCTCCTCAATAGATGCATTCTTCTCATTGTCCTCTGCAGAGGTGGACAGCACCTGGAGACAAATCATGGGATTTTTAATTCAAGGGACAGATAGATAGATGTTGGGTTTTACTCACATTTAAAATGCTGAGCTGGTCCTGTTATTCAACAGAATTACATTCAAAGGTTTCCAGCTGCCACACTATGAAATGTATACTAACTACTGGTTTTGCTCCTTAATGACTAGATGACTCCAGAGTTTACAGTGATATACAGCATCCTAAATAGCATGCAGTTAATCATAAAACAGAGACATGAATATGTCCGCTACTCACAGGGTAGGTAGGCTCCATTACCTCATACGGGTTTTCTTCTTCCTCACACCTGAGCTGCAATGATGAGCGCAGTATGAAAGAATATTCTGTTGGCACTAAAAGACCAAAACACAGATTGCAGATTTCTTTAGTTGAATCTTCCTCACCTGTTCTATTCTTATGGGCCAATAGATGCATGAGTTTGTCTGAGCCCATGGATTCCTCCTTAACCTTCCATGCCTTTTTCTGCAGCGGTAGTAAATGACTGGGGTGAGCGTTACAGTGATGAGCACAATCACAGCAACAATAGCTCCTGCTGTAGTTCCTGCTGTAGGTCCATGTCCATCAATAACTGTTGATGGAGATGTGATATTACATACATCAACAAAAGCGGTTTCCGCTTCGCTTTTTCCATCTGTATTTAAGTGGTGGAGTGCCTTGTGAGGATTTGCATCTGAGCCTTATATTTGTATCTAACACAGCTTCATCATCCATGTAACATACCGGCTTGTCTGGCCTCTCCATTACAACCAGAATGTCTTTTAATCTGTTCTCTAGCTGACTTTCTCACCTTACATTGGTATGTTCCAGAATCTGTAAGCTTAAGGTCAGTGATGCTTAGAGAAGCATCCTGTTCTTTAAAGGGGCATATAAATTATTATGAATGATACTTTGACTATACCGGAGTATACGTTTTTCATCTCCCTGCCTGATTGGTGGCACAATGTTCCACTCTATGTCCAAATTTTCCAAATCCTCAGAATCAAGGGTGAACTGACAGTTAAGAGACACATTTCTATCTCTAGTTCCATAATAGAGATCATTGTCAGGTGTTATTTTTAGAGAATAAGCTTGTTCTGGGGTAAGAGCGCATAATTTCATCATGGCAAAATCCATAACTCTGTGAAATATCCTGGGAGGCAGCAATGTTGATGCACAAGCATGATGACATACTTGGATTGGTGGGCCTCAGGTTGCACATCCTGGGTTTCACTGTAAAACATAAGGGTTATGGTTAGGGGCAGGACTGTATATGGGAACATACATGTTAAACATGGTGCAGGAAAACTGATCTGTTGCAACATATTAGACCTCCTCACACCAGTTTGGCTGAGAGAGTCAAAGGTATCCTCTTAGCCCCCAGACCCCATACATACACAATATAATTTTCATGTCATATGGTGTTGATTACAAGAATGTGAGATTTTTTAAAATACCCTTTCTCCTGTGATGTAAAGGAAATAATGCCTACAAATATCACAACTTTCAACAAATTTTTTTGAAAGAAATCCACAAAAAATTTTAAGCTACAACAATCACCAAAAGTCCACAAAATCCCAGGGGGAGTGGTAATAAATACACAAATATTCTAAAGCATATTCTGTAAATTATGCAATACATTTTTTATTGATTATGTCAAATGAGATCTATTTGACCCATGTTAAATATGGAGAGACAGCTTTACAGTAAGTTGGGTTCATAATTGCCACAGCTCTATAATATTTACAGTAGTGTGCTACTTAATAGCAGGACACATTGTATCAGACTTTTTACAAGTTTTAATATTTTACTGCAAAAGTGGGTCCTCAGTTATTACTATACAGACAAACTGGACAGATTCACTTGCAGAACTTTTACCTCCACCTCTGCCAATCATAGCTCAGAGATTACTAAAGTAAAACTTTATCTACAAAAGAGATCAAAGTGGGCCACAAATCCACATCTGAACAGCATTATAGCAAGAAAAAGAGTAAAAGTGTGGTGTAATTGTGCAGCGTTACAGCAATGTAACAGAAAAAGGAAATAGAAAGTGGGCTATAAACCATAAATTGACTCTTACCTGCAGAAGAGCGGAAATCTTTCAAAACCAGTGCAGATTTAGCAGAACATAATGTAGGATGATGCAGAAACTTTAAGCCAGTTCAGAAAATCCACATGACTGACACACTGGAGCAGCCAATCAGTGCAGTCATTAACTTTTCAGCCAATCAGAGCAGACCCATATCCTCCGTGTGTGAAGGACAGGAAGAGAGCAAAAGTTGAGGAGGAATCATGGGTGGAGGTGTGGCAGCAACCAGCAATCAGGTAAAATCCAAAAATACTGACATGTTGGATATCTGCAGGGCTGCCAAGTTTCAGAAAATGACAAGAGTGAGACTCGAGTGACAGGACGCGTTCGGCCGGTGACCTGTCCTCACCTCCATGCCAGCTTATGGAAGTTTTTCTGTGCCATCTGTGTTTGAATATGAATTTCTAAGATTGAATTTTTTCAGCATCAAAATCAGACTTTGAATTTTAAAACCATCAAATTTCTGGCACTGGAATTTTTTTGCCTGTGATTTTTTGTCAATGTTGAAATAAATTCAGTGTAAAAAAATCAATGTCTCAAAAAATTCAGTTTTTCAAAATTCGACATGTAAACATAAACAGAAATTCAACATAACAAAATATTAAATGTCAAAAAATTCAACTTAAAAAAATTCAGTGTCGAAAGAACGAGACTCACGTCCGGGTAACCAGTGAGAAGCAATCGATCCCTGTCTCGATTCTTCATTCACAACCTGATGACACAGACACCGGCATAAATAGCAGCATAAATAGGATTCCTCTTGTATCAACTGTCAAATCAGATGACGGATATCTGTCATTCTTGTTTGCCTAACAACAGCGGGTGAGAGTGATCAGATTCACACGCACACACAGGCACACTAGCACGCGCCCACTCTCAGCGCAACAGACACACGCATTTAGACGTACCAGTCCCTAGGAAAAAAAAAAGCCATACCATACTCAAAAGGTAGAGCGAGTTGTCCAATTCAATTCAATTCAATTCAATTTTATTTGTATAGCGCCAATTCATAACAGAAGTTATCTCAGGACACTTTTCAAATAGAGCAGGTCTAGACCGAACTCTTTAAAACATTAATTACAGAGACCCAACAGTACCACCATGAGCAAGCACTTGGCGACAAGGGCAAGGAAAAACTGCCTGTTAAAAGGCAGAAACCTAGGACAGATCCTCCGGCTCTAGGTGGGTGGTCGTCTGTCTCGACTTATAGCTTATAGTTATAAGCTATTGGTTAATAAGTTATATAGCTTAATAGTTTATAGCTGAGAAGATGATGTTTGTGGTATGTATTGTTTGTCTGCAATTTGTTTGTTTTGTTTATAACACTTGTACCACAGCAGGTGCCTTTGTTAATGAGGCACAAGTCTACATATTTGATATAATTGTGTGTATACATACAAGTGTATATGTATATATAAGAAAATGTCAATAAATATATTGTTAAAAAAGATGTGTTGGGTCTATACTGTGATGTTGGATATGACCAATATCTCATGTCTCGTCTCATCATGTCTGTATAATCCACTTGTGATAAAGGAATTAATATAGAGTTGTTGGGTTTATACTGCAATATTGGATCTGACCAATATCTCTGTATGGACCCACCAACTCTGTATTAGTCCCTTATAATTTTGTAGTCGTGCTTCTTCTGCTAAAGTGTCATCCTCCTCCTACCTAAGACTTTTTGTGAAAGTGCTTAAGGGACTTTTGCATGCAAACATTAACACACTTAACATGCTGGTAGAATTTAGGGAGTGCTACCTTTAAAGTCTGCATGATTAAAATCCCCTGCTATGATATTCACGGCATCAGGATACATGCTCTGCTTATTGGTAATGCTTGTAGACCCTGTCTGTGAATGTTCTCATTCATCCAGGTCATAGTTATCTTAAGGAAATTAAATCAAATGCAACTGGACTTGGTTATGTCTTTGAAGACGTTTCACCTCTCATCGAAGAGGCTTCATCAGTTCATGTTCCCTTGACTAGGCAAGGGAACATGAACTGACTGTAATAGACGCTCCCTTACTGTTTCCAAAGCCTCCATAGTTGGAATACAGGTGAACAAAGTCGCATCATAGAATACCACGGTTTCATCAGGATCCATTTTTAGATTTCGGACTTTCAATTTTCAATTTTATTTATTTGTATAGCGCCAATTCATAACAGAAGTTATCTCAGGACACTTTTCAAATAGAGCAGGTCTAGACCGAACTCTTTAACATTAATTACAGAGACCCAACAGTACCACCATGAGCAAGCACTTGGCGACAAGGGCAAGGAAAAACTGCCTGTTAAAAGGCAGAAACCTAGGACAGATCCTACGGCTCTAGGTGGGTGGTCGTCTGTCTCGACCAGTTGGGGTGAGAGAGAGAGAGAGAGAGAGAGAGAGAGAGAGGCAGAGAGAGAGAGAGCGAGAGACAGACAGACAGGTGCACAGCAACAACAGTATTGGCAACGGCAATCTAGCAGGACCATGGCAGGAGGCTCCACCAGGATCGACAAGAACCTGCGAGACGAGAAAGCAAAAGAACTCCGGGGAACAAGTGAAGTTAGTAACATGCAT